ATATATATATATACAATTAGGCCAGAATATGCCATAAAAAGGACGAAAAAAAAGGTCAGTAATTATTTCTTTTTATTTCCTTCGCTGCCTAAATATTTTTATTTTTATTTTTTATTTTTTTATTTACATAAATATATAAATAGACATATAACAACAAAAAAACCCTAAACCCTAAACCCTAAACCCTAAACCCTAAACCCTAAACTCAAGATAATGCAATTTTGCTTGGATCCAATTCTGTTACTGCTCCTTGTTTTACTCCCCATAAATACCAATATAACAATATGCCCAGCTGCACCAACACACGCAAACCCTAAACCCTAAACCCTAAACTCTAGACTCTAAACCCTAAACCCTAAACCCTAAACTCTAGCACAGAAGAGTCATAAACCCTACGGTTTCATGTTCCTACTGCAACCACCCTTACAAGGGTTCAGCACTAAACCATCATATATACGGCAACAAAAAGAACCCCCAAACCCTAAACCCTAAACCCTAAACCCTAAACCCTAAACCCTGGGCCTTACAGGTTGTCCCGTGAAGCAGAAGACGAGCCAAAAGAAGCAATTCCCAACAGTTGGATTATCTTGGAACTGCGCGCACAAACCCTAAACCCTAAACCCTAAACCCTAAAGCTTTGCAGCAGCGCACAGAGAGAGCTATCGAGATCCTCTAGAGCTGGCGGTTTAGGGTCTAGGGTTTAGGGTTTAGGGTTTGGCTCACAAACTGGATGTTGGTGAAATACATTAAGGGAATCTGGCCTGTAAACAAACATCCTCACAACTACTAAACCCCAAACCCTAAACGCTAAACCCTAAAAACCAATCCCCCTGTTGCTTCTGAGTTGAACTCGAGCAGTAGCAAAGGAAATATGTCAGCAAAGCGCAGCAGCAGCAGCAGCAGCAGCAGCACAAGCAGCAGGAGCAACAACAGCAGCAGCTTACCGATGAATGCAAAGAAGATGAATCCTGTCCATCCAAGTTGTAGAGGAACAACAACAAGATATTCATGCATAAGGGCAGATATAAAAAACACTACTGTACCTGCAAATACTTTAGGTACCCCTATTACAACAAAAAAAGCACACAGAGGGTTTAGGGTTTAGGGTTTAGGTTTTCTAGGGTTTAGGGTTTGTGGTTGAGGGTTTAAAATTTTGGGTTGGGGGATTAGGGTTTAGGGTTTAGGGTTTAGGGTTTAGGGCTTAGGGTTTACCGTTTCTAAGTAGGGGTTTATTAACATGTCTATGAAGGAAGAAATGAATTGGCAAATTCCATTTACGCCAATATTCACCAAAAGACGACGCATTCCACCAGTCCTATACGTAAACCCTAAACCCTAAACCCTAAACCCTAAACCCTAAATTCTAAACCCTAAATTCTAAACCCTAAAAAATAGATTCGATCTTCTTCTTAATGTGAATGCCTCTTGAATTATCTCTGTGAGCGCTCAACTCTAAACTCTATATACATCCTGAACCCTTTCCCAAACCCTAAACCCTAAACCCTAAACCCTAAACCCTAAGTCTTACGAGGTAGAATTCCCTATCTCCAAATCGTGTAACTTCTGCTAGAATATTACACCAATGATGAAAAAGACCAATAAACATTAATAGCCAAACATATAAATTAGGAATTGATAGCCGAACCATCTGCATATACACCACAATATCAAGGGTTTAGGGTTTAGGGTTTAGGGTTTAGGGTTTAGGGTTTTTTTCAACTTTTGCTGGAAGATCTGGGTGCTCTTCAGAGCTCAACC